GGGCCGGGGGCGCGGCGCCATGCGGCCCGCGAGCAAGCCACTCTCCTCCCTTGCAGGAACACCGCGATGGCTGCCCAGGGAGAGCCCCAGGTCCAGTTCAAAGTACGTAGTGTTCCGCGGTGGGGCCTGGGGGGCCGGGGCTCCGGCGCCGGTTCTCGCAGGCCTCCCGGGCGCAAGACGGGACAGTGGGCCTGGGAAGTTTCGTGGCCGAGCCTTTGATTACCCATAGCAGGACCACGTCCTTTGTGTTCCGCGTACTTGCGGGGTGTTTAAAGTTGTGTGGCTCGAGTGAAATGGGTGTCTACAGAATTTTATCGCCTCCGCAGTTCTGGGACCCTAAGAGGAAATATTTTGGGCTTATTTCCAAAATTTGTTCTCCAACAGCTTGTATTGGTTGGTGATGGTGGTACTGGAAAAACTACATTCGTGAAACGTCACTTGACCGGTGAATTTGAGAAGAAGTATGTAGGTAAGTAGGCGGAAAACCGGTTGTGGAAGTTTGTGTGAAATGGATAAATTCATCCACTGATTTGAAATGTTTCCATTTCAGCCACCCTGGGTGTTGAGGTCCATCCCCTCGTGTTCCATACCAACAGAGGTCCTATTAAGTTCAATGTATGGGATACAGCTGGCCAGGAGAAATTTGGTGGACTGAGAGATGGTTATTACATCCAAGGTAGGTATCTCATTTGTAACTGGTAACAGGTTTTGAGAGGGTTTGTACTTTAGTCTCCCAGGTTGTTCACTGGTAGTTAGGTCTTTCCAACAAACATGCTTAATACTGACTAATGAGAATTGGGTATTTCTTGGGTTAAAAAAAGATATACTGCCGTCAGGGAGTTGACCACCATTTGGGTCGAGGGGGAGGAGATTTTGTGAACTTGCTCTTGTGTCGTTTGATTGCATGCTGTGTCATGCTAAGCATGGTTTTGGAAAAACGGTATGACTTACCGTGAGACTTGTAATTTAAAACAGTAATAGTGAGCAACAGACAAGGTGTTGTTGCAGTTTCAGTATTTGAAAATTAAGGATCAGGTATATATTTTGGTGGTTAGTAGTTAATAATATTTCCACTCAAAGACAGAAAACGCTTGGAGCAGATCTTAGACTGGAGGAGCTAGGTTCTCTATTTGACAAATGTTGTATAAAAATAGCTGATTTCTTTTTAATTGTTTGTACTGAGTTTCCCTGAATATTTTTTTTCAAAATGCTTGATTTAAAAATTGCAGAGAGGGCTGGCTGGTTAGCGCATGGTGTTGACAACAACAGGGTTTGATTCCTGTTACCAGCCAGTCACCAAAAATAGAATTTTTAAAAAAAATTGTAAAGAAAATAATGTTTACTGTTGTATCAGACAAAAAGATGGATAAAGAAAATACTCATCTCTCTCGGAGTGTCACTTTTCTAATGAAAACTTTGGGGGAATCCTTCCATGCCTTTTGCTTTCCTTGAGCATGCACAAATAAACACAAGGATTTTACCCCCCCCAAAATCCTTTAATCAAAAAGTTGTATTATGCTGTATGTACTCTGCGGTTTGTTGCCCTATTATCTATTTTATGGCCATCCATATAGGTCAGTATATAGATTTACCTGGATGTTTTTAAACAGAGGCATAATATTAATATTTCCCAGTATATTCAGTCATTTAAGACCCTTTTAAAGAATATTTCCAAGCCCCACCCTCACAATATGGGAGGTGGGTGCTCTGGAATGCTAATTTATCATTAATCTATTTTAGACATCTTTTTGGGGGTGAGATACTATTAATTATTATGGGAGAAGAGATTTGGTAGAGTGATCTGTTCTTTTAAACTTTCTTATGAAAAGCAATTATAAGCAGTATTGTATATTACAATAGTTTGACATTTTTAGAATTAGAAGAGACCTTGAAATTGCAGGGAGAGATCTGGATGACCCAGAGTTAGGCCTTACTAAGACCTTAAGTGAATCCTAGTCTGTGGGTATTAGCATTCCTCATCCATGTAGTAAACTCCTAGGTTTGTAGTAACTACCATAAATTTTTCTTTCAGCCCAATGTGCCATTATAATGTTTGATGTAACATCAAGAGTTACTTACAAGAATGTGCCTAACTGGCATAGAGACCTTGTACGAGTATGTGAAAACATCCCCATTGTGTTGTGTGGCAACAAAGTGGATATTAAGGACAGGAAAGTGAAGGCAAAATCTATTGTCTTTCACCGAAAGAAGAATCTGCAGGTATGTTAAACCTGAAACTTATTTTGATCCTTAGAGAAGATTATAATCTGTCCATGGAATTAATTTTTTTTTAAATTTATGAATTGAAAGAATTTCATCCGTTTTTTTTAGCTTGCAACATCTAATCATTTTTGTAATGGATTTTTTTTTTTTTTTTAATTCCTTCCTACCTGGCGTCAGGATTTCTTAATATTTTTTCTTTTAAACAGTACTATGACATTTCTGCCAAAAGTAACTACAACTTTGAAAAGCCCTTCCTCTGGCTTGCACGAAAGCTCATTGGAGACCCTAACTTGGAGTTTGTTGCCATGCCTGCTCTTGCCCCACCAGAGGTTGTCATGGACCCAGCTTTGGCAGCACAGTATGAGCATGATTTAGAGGTACCATGTTTACATTTGGTTAATGTTGTTAGATTTGACAGTTATATTCCTCACTTTTTAATCTCTGGAGTATTATCATCATTTCATCTTTTTCTCTAGGTTGCTCAGACAACTGCTCTTCCGGATGAGGATGATGACCTGTGAGAGAGAAGCTGGAGCCCAGCGTCAGAAGTCTAGTTTTATAGGCAGCTGTCCTGTGATGTCAGCGGTGCAGCGTGTGTGCCACTTTATTATCTAGCTAAGCAGAACATGTGCTTCATCTGTGGGATGCTGAAGGAGATGAATGGGCTTTGGAGTGAATGTGGCAGTTTAAAAAAATACCTTCATTGTTTGGACCTGCATATTTAGCTGTTTTGGAACGCAGTTGATTTCTTGAGTTTCAAATATAAGACTGCTATAGTCACATCACAACATTCGGTGGTGAAATCTTGTTTGTTACTGTCATTCCCATTCCTTTCGTTTAGAATCAGAATAAAGTTGTATTTCAAATATCTAAGCAAGTGAACTCATCCCTTGTTTGTAAGCATTTTTAAACCACTAAGATAGAGAAATTTATGCCATGTTAATATTTAAATTGCCTTTGCTATTATCACTTAATTCAAAAATCTATTGGTTAATTTCTCCCTGTGTCTACTTTTTATTCTTTTGTACATTTGAATCATGTCACACAAACTAGATATGACAGGTCAACAGAGTGTTCTATTTGGTTAACAGGTGTAAATACTGCAGTTAAGCTGAAATAATGTGTGCTTCACCTTCATTTTGGCTAGGTAGTGTTCCCTCGGGAAGAGCCCCTTCAAAATTATGTGACCTGTCAGAATAAAAAGTGGTTTGTGCCTATCAAACAGATGTTTTAAGAATCATAATTGCTTTTATTTATGGCAAAGGTACCGCGTTTTAATGTAGCAAGTGTGGATGAAATTACATTGATGGCGGTAGCTTGAGGAAATTCTCATCGGTTAAAAATGAGTGTAAATTTTGCGCTTTTTGTTTTAATGTTAGATGTTTAATGTAAAGTTGATATTCTGGGAAGATGTTCATGTTTACCCGCTGCTTTCAAAGTACTCCCAAGCTTTAAAGATGTCTTAAAGGTTAAGGATTTAATCTGGACACTACAGCTTTTTGGTTTTCTTGCCAATTTTTTAGGCAGTGCAAATAAAGGAAAATAACTAGGAATACTGCAACAGTGGAACAGTATAATGGGCTTCTCAGTAATGTGGAACAGGTTGCAAGACTTTTATCAGATTAAGCCTTTATCTTTGTGGTTTTCACATTTAAGAGTGGAGTAGGTTTATTTTGCTTAAGGAGTTTGATCCCATCAACAGTAGCCATTAGGAGTCATTTTAAGAGCTATCTTTCTCATAAGTACTATAAAAGTCCACTTTACCAAAGTTTTCATTAGATTTCAGATCGTTACACGATTACCCTTTTACCTTAAGTGAAAGGATCACTTCAATATGTGGAAAAATGAAGTAAAAGGGTGAAATTGAATGAAATTCAGTTTACTTACTATATAAACTGGCATAAATTCACTTAAAGATCTGAATTGCTGTATATGCTATGCTATATTCAGAAGCAGATTTTAATAGCCTGTGTGAGATGTAAAGTTTTTTTCCCATAATCGGGATGCAGCCTTCCTTTCAGATATTTTGAATTTAATATAAGGTGTATGCGTTGTTTGTAACCTTATGTAGAATGCAAGTATGGTATTGACATTCTGGATTTTATGTGTAACAGTTAAAATTTGGAAGCTACTCCATTTAACCTGTTTAACATGGGGTGGGAGAGAATTTACAAGTCATTCATTGGAAGAAATAATTGTTGCAAAATATATTGCTTATACTCTGCCTGGATTTCTGAATCATCTCTAGCATTTGCCATATGAAATACTGAATAGTTAGCAGAGGTTATCTTGTGGTGGGCTAGAATTACTTGGTTTATACAAATGGGCAAAGTTTTCCCTCAGTGTTTGGAAATCTTGTGTCTAATAGGGAAAGTCTTGAAAGCATACTGCAAACTAGTAACAGCTTATTAGAGCAAAATTACTGAGAAAACGCATAGTGTGGTTTATACAGATAAAATGTGGAGCATTGGTAAGGTTAATAAGGGTAAAATGTTTCTGAAAAGCAGTTTCATTGTGTGCCAGAGCCAATTTTTAAAAAACCTTACAAGATGGGTTCTCATTTTTATCAACCATGAGATGTTTAGAAAAGATCAGAGATTTCCAAAGGGGACAGGTTTCCTGGCTGATGTGCTCCTGAAGTAACTGAAGTAGAGAATTTCTGGTTTATTTTGTAAAGTCAGATGTGCATAGGAAGGAATGTTGAGCAGATGGGAAGAGGGTTGAAGTTGTGGACGTGGAGCAAACTGAACTTGAACTTCATGGATGCTTGGACTGTGTAGGGACTGCAGGTAACCTGCCTGACAAAACTACCTGAGACTAATTCTGAAATTGTGTGTCAGGCAGGCACTGTGCTAGAATATTATTATTAAGTTCTCTGAACTCCTTTTAAACCTTCAAGCTTGAAGTTGTGTTGAGGTAAAATGTACACCTAGTCACTGAAACCTTGCTATTAGTTAACGGCTCATAGTCATATTAAAAAAGCAGATCTGATCACACCTTCCCTGCTCAGTGTTGTGTAGGAGGCCTTGCAAGTGCAGGCCCTGCCTGTCCATGCTTATGGGGCTCTGCTGTGGTTTTACGGTGTATCTGCATGCAGGATGCTTTTCAAGAAGGCTCCCTTCTGAGTAGTGAATCCTGCTACTGCATCTCAGTGCTTTAACACCTTTAGCATTTACATACTGGTTTTTACCTTAAGTGGGTCAATTGTCCCTATGGTAGACACATAACTGAATCCTTCCCTCATAGTCCTAGTCAACATGGTAAATTTGCAATTGTGGTTTCCCTCTCTGGTCTAATCGCAGTGAGGGCCAGGATCTTGTCTCTGGTGTTACTAAATGTTCTAAGGGAACTCTTAAGAAAGAAACGACCATGCGGCTTAGAAATAGGGGTGGGGTAGGGTAGGGAGGGGCAGGGAAAGCTTTATACCATTGAAGTCTGACTATTCTGAAGTCATGGTGTTTCCTTCCTGGGGCTTGTAGTTTATACTCTTACCCGTTTATTCCAGCTTGTTTTCTTGAGAGGAGTATAGACTTATCAGGAAGCTTGCCAGATAGAACTCACAGATTTAAAAGATGCTGTTGGTAGGTGTTGGGTCTTTGGTGCTTTAGGCTTAGCCACAGGAACTGGAAGAGGGGCTTGAATTGATTTTCAGATCCCTGCCTTTTTTTTTTTTTTAAAAAAAAGATGACCAGTAAGGGGATCTTAACCCTTGACTTGGTGTTGTCAGCACCACGCTCAGCCAGTGAGCGAATCGGCCATCCCTATATGGGATCCGAACCCGGGGCCTTGGTGTTATCAGCACCGCACTCTCCCGAGTGAGCCACGGGCCGGCCCTCAGATCCCTGCCTTTAAGAAGCAAAACACAAACCTTTTTGTATAAGTTGTCCTTTTGTAATGTGGATAGGTCATTCTGTAGACTGTCAGCTGTGTGCTCGGGATAGAATGATGAGTGATGGCTCTGCTCATGGAGCCCTCATCTTGGGAGGTGTGCAGTTGAGTGACCCGGGGTGAGGGGACACCTATAGTGAGTGTGAGGGTAGAGAGGGGGATGGGCTTCAGGAGTTCACAGGGATCCTTCGGAAGGGATGAAAGAGCGTCACTGGAGGGCAGGTAGGGAAGATGGGGCCCATGGGGCAGGCATCTTTGTATATTAAAAGTGTAAGGATTTGAATAGCTTAAAAAAACATTCCTACCACTTAGAGGTCACTTGTTGACATTTCGTCATATGTCCTTCCAAGCGTATTCTCAAAACATGGGATTATACTATAATACTATTTCATAACTCTTTTTCGCTTTTTATTATGGGCTTTTCTATGACAGNCTCTCAAGGGAAATTTATTTACAAATGCTTAGAACTTCCACATTCTTTCACTTCCATGTCCTGCTCAAACCCATGTTTTTAACTTCTGAAGGTATGCCCTGCTTTATGAAATCCTAATAGATGGAAAGCCAGTTTTTTAAAAAATCTCTAGTGTGTTTATTTTTGCCATGTTATTGTCAGTTTTCTATGTTTCCCAACATTGGACATGGTGCAAGATGCAGAGATACTAATACATGCTGAATTAAACACATTTTGTTAAATAGCTCCTGTGGTGCTATTTATTCTATAAATTCATGTTTACACTTTCAGAGATATACAAAGTGAGGTGTACACTCTTGCCCTATTTTCAAGTATTTTTATTGTTATGCTCCAATTTGGAGCTCAGGAAATATTGATTGCAGAGGTTGGGATTGGATTTAGATGGACAGAATCTGGGGGAAAAGTAGTGTTAACCAAAGAAAAATATGACAAGAAGGAAACTGAAACCTTAAATTGCAAGAAGAGCACATAATGGTCCAGATCCCAGTAGGTCCAAGTACAAGAATACGTTAATGTAAGGGACCTACTTGTTTTCTTTGGTCAGCAGTTTTACCATTTGAGGCATATTTTTAACCTTTTATTCAATTAATAGTTGCCAGTTACTGAGTAACTAGTGGAGCTAAGATTACCTGTCCCTTTCTAAATAACTTTTGGCTATTTAGTTACTAATTAAGTCCCACCAGAACAGATTAAAGAAGGGTGAGTAAGTAGTAAGTATAGGGAGTCTTGTCACCTACCTTTTTATTATTTGAGTCCCTGTAGTTATGAGATGGTGTAAAATTTGTCTTAACACAGAACTGTTAATAAATTGATCACTTAAAAATTTAGTTCCCAACTCAATCATCACTTCCTCTGAACACATGGGGGCTATCTCTAGACCCTCTGCCACTGATGTCTCTGGATTCTGGAAGCGAGATAGCTGCTCCCCATCCCCCTTCCAGGATTACGTCTCTTTTTGACTAACTTCTAATTCAAAGCCTGGGGTTGGGAGAACCAAAATCAGGGTTTCCTCAGACCCCTCACCCTAGCCGAGGAAGCTACGAAAGAGAGTTACTGGAAAGGAACAGATATGGCTTTAGACCATCATAGTTCATCTCTTGGGAATGGGCATATTGATATCCCTAACAAATTTGAGATTTTGTTGGCATGGGAAGAGGGAGAAGGTGGGGAGTGGTTTGGGGAGTGGTTATTTAACTGTCACACGTGTTAAGTGATATGGATTTTTCAAATAATTGTTATGACTAATTTATTTGCATTTTTTACATAATTGCAATGAACTTTTTTAATATATGGCTTGAACTATTTTTTTCCTCAAAGTGGGATTATTTGGTCAGAGTTTATGAAGATTATTGTGTTTTAAAAGGTATTGTCAAACTTTTTTTTTTTTAAATATGGAATGCTTCACAAATTTGCGTGTCATCCTTGTGCAGGGGCCATGCTAATCTTCTCTGTATCGTTTCAATTTTAGTGCATGT